ATCTATATATCTGATTCTGTTCACATCTATCTATCTATCTATCTATCTATCTATCTATCTATCTATCTAATTTTGTTCATTATCTATCTATCTATCTATCTATCTGATTCTTTTCATATCTATCTATCTATCTATCTATCTATCTATCTATCTTACGAGGTCTACGGGCAATTTTTGCCCGCGTCAACGGGCTCAAAATGCCCCATGTTAGAAACCGGCCTTGTGCCATATCCCGCTCTGTGGGGAAGTTTCGGCTGAATACCGAAAAGTTAACAATTAACTGTTTATTACATTAGTCTCTATCTTCTCAACCGTGTACCAGATTTTATTCACCGAAATATTTTATTTTATTTTTTATATGTGTGTCAACCTTTCTTATTTAGGACACATCACAAGCACAATTATTATATGAGTTTTAATTGGTATTTCATCTCATTTCTCTTTTTTATTTAACCCCAGCAAAGCTCAAGTTTAGATATGCCAGACATCTTGCATTCATTTATTTTTTTTAATCTGACTCTCGAGAAGATAAAACATGGCAGATGAAAGAACCTACTTTCAGGAGCGATAGAAAGCACCAACCATTTTTCCAGGATCTTCAGTAATGGATCATGCATATGAGTTACACTTGAGGGCTGGGGTTAACTTGATCACAAGCAGTAATGCTGATCCACACGTAAAAAAAGCCATCATTTTTTACGGGTACTATGCTAGTTAGTAATGACGTTTATACTTACTAAGAACCGGCAGATGAAAGAACCTACTTTCAGGAGCGATAGAAAGCACCAACCATTTTTCCAGGATCTTCAGTAATGGATCATGCATATGAGTTACACTTGAGGGCTGGGGTTAACTTGATCACAAGCAGTAATGCTGATCCACACGTAAATAAAGCCATCATTTTTTACGGGTACTATGCTAGTTAGTAATGACGTTTATACTTACTAAGAACCGTTCGTTTCTTTGATAACCACAGAGCCACCGTAGAATTTTATGAAGTCCTGCAAGTCAGAAACAAATTACTAATAATAATAATAGTATAATGAAATTAAAATGAAATATAAGCGCGACTGTCAGTTTCATGTTGAGCTGAGATTCATTTCTTCACCAAATCGTATAGACTGGCGCTACAGGATCACAAACAAATATCTTTGTCAAACAACTAACAACCACATCAGCTGAAAACTTCTAACAGTAACAATAACAACTACTATAGACGGCACACTTTTTTTAAGCATTTCACCCCAAGCAAGGCGGGAAGCCACTAGGACGCAAGGGGGTTACAGAGGATTTGGAGCGAGAGCAGATAGGAGTGATAGAGGAAAGGATGAGGAGAAGGATAGTGGATAGATCAAGGCAACTGGAGATGTCGATTGACATTACATTTGAATAGTTGGAGATTATAGCTATCAGGGAAACAGGAAAAGGGGAGGGAATTCCACAGGCGAGAAGTGTGAGACATGAAGCTATTGGAGTAGAAGAGACGGCTACATTTAACAGTTTCGACAGTGAAAGGGTGAGAGCGAAATGCCAGCCTAGTAGAACGCTTAAATTCATAAAGTCTGGGAACCAGCGAAAGCAGCTCATCGGAGCAATTACCATGAAAGTATTTGTAAAAAAGACAGAGAGAGGCGACGGCACGTCTGTGAGAGAGCAACTGCAGACGAGATGCCAGATCAGGGCTAATTACATTGCATATCCGTCTCTGGATCTTATCAAGGACTTTGAGACAAACAGAAGGGGCTCCAGATCATATATGGCAGTAATACTCCATGCAATGGCGAATGGTTGATTTGTAGATTTGAAGGATCGACTCCGGGGAGAAAAATTTCCTGGCGCGGCATAGGGAGCCAAATTTCCTTGCGGTGGACGAAGCTATTGACTCAATATATTCGTTCCATCTCAGGTCAGCGGACAATGTGAGACCGACCAGCCGCAATGTCTTGAAGGGAAAATAATACTATAATTGTGATGTTAAGTTTCCACAGAACCTTAAACAAAAGGTTTGGAAGGAAACTACTAACTGTTCGGTTAATGAATGTCTAATATTTGCTGTATGGAAACGGTCAATCTCACCAAAGACTATTAACATTATTACGATGAAAGGATGGTGAAAAAAACCTGAGCAAGTACCTCATTTTTTATCTCCTTGGTAAGGTCGATAAATTTGAGCACCCATTCATTTACCCATTCTATAAGATTCTCCTGGATCCAAAGTGGGGTCTGCTTCTTATTAATATCAAGCTCGTGCCTTGAGCGCCTCTTGGGCCTTAAACTCAACCCAAACCACAAGTAGAGCACGTACATACGATCCATCGCTAAAGAGCCTGGAAAAATGGTCGGTTCTCTGTCCTGCTTCAGTCTAAGTACCTGACTCCTCCTGATATCTAACGGATCAGGCCGAAAATGGAGTACTACTGACATAAACTAGTTCAAAAGTTTGAAGCCACCCCCAGAATTAGCATGGGATGAACTTGACTGAAGAAAAAAAATGAAAAAGAGTTTCTCATTGAAAAAAAGAATAGAATCAATTATCAAACTTAAACTTTCAGAAACTTTTACAACAAACGTCAAACGTTTGTGCTGCAGTAATCAAGGCTAAAGGAGGATAT